CAATTGCGAACTGCAAATCTCGACTCAGCTCCTACGTCTGAACATAGGCAGCCGATCTACGGGATCTACTAGCAACAAGATGTCGCGTAAGCCACCCCGGTGTTGCCCCGGCGCCAATTTGCCGATTCTCCAAAAAAAAAGCCTTCCAACTGATCGGTGATCTCGCGCAATAGTGACCTCTGACTTGCGCGACAAATATATCGAGATAATTGACAATATCCTGGCCAAAAGCGACCTCACTACCATCTCCGAGAAGCGAATTCGCAAAGGTCTTCAGGATGCCGTCGGCTATGACCTCACTCCGATGAAAGTTAGTTAAGTTACGGCGATTTGTGGCGTATTCTTATTCCGGAGTCATTTAGGATGACTGGCGAAGGACCGTGGCTGACATTCACAAAGTCTACGATCAAGCCGTTGATCATGGAACGATTCGATCTCTACGCGGAACAAAACGGTGTGGGCGGATCGCCTGATGGAATTACCGCAAGCAATGATCAGCGCGATGGTGATTCAGCTCCAGCTGCGGTGCCCTCCCCGCCTCCCTCCTCGTCCCCTGTGAAGCGCCAGGCCTCCAGCGATTCTACTTCTGAGCCTGCGAGCGCATCGCCTCCTGCCAAGAAACAAAAGCCCGATACTGATACTGATGCGGATGCGGTATTCGCGGCCAAACTGCAAGCTGAAGAGAATTCGCGCGCGCGACCCACCCGTGGGGGCAACACTCGGCGTGCAGCTCCTGTGAAGAAGAAGAGCAAAGCTAAGACATCGAAGAGGGTCAAGGCAGAAGATGATTCAGATATTGGCTCAGGCGATGAGCCAAAGAAGGAGGTCAACCGAAATACCGGGTTCCACGTAGGCATTTCTATATAGTCTTCCTTCCCAAGCCTTCCATCAATTCTAACACGGCCACAGAAACCTATGAACCTCTCCGAGCCTCTGTCCGCCCTTCTGGGAGAACCCACAGTGAGAACCTCTCCCGCTTGGTCACTAAGCCTTGTTTGCTAAACTTCGCACAGCTTTCGCGGCCCCAAACTGTCAAAAAGGTTTGGCAATACATTCGCGAGAACGAGCTTCAGGACCCCAGCGATCGCCGCCAAATCCGATGCGACGATGCCATGCGCGCTGTCTTCAAACAAGATCGAGTCCATATGTTTACCATGACTAAAATTCTCAATCAGAATTTGTACAATCCCGATGAATAATTCGGGGATGACAGATCGACTTCGATCATTATGGAAGAGCAGGCTCCAAACAAGCCCTGTTTGTTAACGATTCTCCTTCGTCTTTTATTTTTCATTTTTTGCGATGCATGGGGATGCTGGCGCTTTGAGCAATTTCCATTCGCCATTTTTGTTTCTTCTGGATTTGACTTGCTTATGCTCTCCAGCGGGAGTTGGTGGAAGCCCTCCATAGGTGATTTTACGGTCCCAAGGGTCCTGGAATCCACTACCTACATGATTTACATATGCGCGGATCCTGCTCATGTAGACTATATGGATATTGTAACAGCTTACAATGTGTGCTCGTAGGTCAAGGGGAAAATGGGGATCTCGACGTTTGTTCTCTGGGCAGCTTTTGAAGCTCCTTGATTTGCTAGACATTCCATGATCTGTGCATAGATAGATACTTGTAGTTAGTGGTCTTTCTATCCTTGGATATACATAGAGAAGTCCCTTGCACAAAGTATGCTTTTTTTACCGTCTTCACATATACTTAAAATGGATATCTATAAAGACATCACAAGGCTGTAAATGTGGCTAACTATTCTTGTTGACTTGAATCAAATACTAGTATTTTATTCGGCTCAGCCCATCATATGTTGACCTAACAAAGCAGGTCGGCGCCAACAAGCCGATGGTTCTGCCCAATATGTATGCTCACCGGCATCTTGTAAAATGGAATGGGCAAACAACATGCTCCATGCGCCATGCGCCACTCAGTCACTCAACTGGGGGTTTCGTGTAATCAAGGAGACAAAGGGAGCGATCAGTCGAAGACCTCACATCCGCATCCAATGCGGAATGCGGGATCAGTCAGCGACATCTCACTTTTTCCCTAGAACCTCTCCCCCACCACAAACCACAAACCCCAGAGCTTTGGAGATCCAGCACACCTGATATTGACGCTAAGCCGTAGCTTGCATCGTGACATTTCTTCCCGTGTCTGCAATGGCCGACAACCAGGCCCCAACCCCAGAGCCATCCAGCCAAGGTCGTGGCGGGCGTCGCCGCGGCCGCGGAGGGGCAGCTCCCCCCGGCCGTGGAGATTCGCAAAAAAATACCGGCGATGGGGAAAAACGCCCTAAGCCTCGCACCCGCGGCGGCGGTCGAGGCGGCGGCGGCGGCGATGCAGGCCGACAAGCTCGCAACACCGATCAGTCCAACAATCACGATACTCAGCCTTCGAAAGCTACAACGCCAGCAACGAAAAAACCGGTAGAAGCGGCCACGGATGATGCAGATGATGGAGAAGTCTGCTTTATCTGCGCTTCTGCCGTCGAACATACCTCGGTCTCCCCCTGTAACCATAGGACGTGTCACATTTGTGCGCTTCGGTTGCGGGCACTGTACAAGAACAAAGCTTGTGCTCATTGCAGGGTATGATCATCTTGCAACTGTTTCTCAATGAGCTGAGGTGTTTTTCGTTGGAGTTATGTTTCACGTGCTGACTTGAAGGATGTTAGACCGAATCGAACTTCGTGATCTTCACAGATGATCCAGTGCGGCGATATGAGGATTTCAACAAGAAGGACTTTGCTCGGACGGACGACAATCTTGGCATCGAATATGAAAGTGACGAGATCTTCGGAGACACAGTGCTGCTGCTACGATACAATTGTCCGGACGAGGACTGCGATGTGGCCTGTTTGGGGTGGCCAGACTTGCACCGCCATGTAAAGAGCAAGCACAGCAAAGTTATGTGGTATGTCGATCTCGTAACCTGTGGAAGTTTTGAATCAGCAGCTGACTGTATCCTCCGTATAGCGACCTTTGTACTCGTAACAAGAAGGTCTTTACCCATGAGCATGAACTATTCACCATGGCGGAATTGCGTAAGCACGAAAAGTCTGGCGATGACAAGCCTGGAGCTATAGACCAGAGTGGCTTCAGGGGACACCCTGAGTGTGGCTTTTGTCGCCAACGATTTTATGGTGACGACGAACTTTACACTCATTGCCGTGATAAACACGAACGTTGCCACATCTGTGACCGACGCTCCTCCCACCGTCAACAACAATACTACATTGACTACAACGCATTGGAGAATCACTTCCATAAGGATCATTTTGCTTGTCTGGATAAAGAGTGTTTGGAAAAAAAGTTTGTCGTTTTTGAGTCTCAAATGGACCTGAAAGCTCACCAAATCGAGGCTCATCCCGAAGGCCTTTCTAAGGACGTTCGACGAGACGCGAGAATGGTTGATCTGGCTGAATTTGATAACATGCGCGCTCCTTACCAACAGCAACGCCAGCGTCGCGGTGCCGGTCGCGGCCGTGACCCCAATGCCGAGCCACTTCCAGTATCCAGTGCCCAGCCTATGACCCGTGCTGAAGTTGCATATCAGCGTCAAATGGCTATACAGAGTTCCCAATCTGTCTCAACACGAAACTTTGGCGGCCAACTGACTCGAGATGACGTCCAACCCGTGCGTGCTCCAGAACGATCCGCCGCTGCCACTCCAGTGCAGTCTGGCCCCACATCACGCTCTCAAGCTCTTCCTACTGCAGCGTTTGAAGGCTTGAACATCTCTGCAAACTCCGCGCCAGCTACCGCACAAGACCAGACTCGCCGAATGCGCCATGAGGCTGTGGTTGAACGTGCTTCGAATCTCCTCCGCAATGATGCCACCAAACTCGCCGAATTCCGTAGTAGAGTATCAAACTACCGCGCTTCTTCCATCTCGGCAACCGAGCTTATAGATGCCTTCTTCTCATTATTCGACACATCCAGCACTGAGCTGGGCAAGCTCATCAAGGAGCTCGCTGAGATCTACGAGGATGAATCCAAGCGCTCCGATCTCCTGCGAGCCTGGAATGACTGGCGTGCCATCAACGAGGATTACCCAGCCCTTCCAGCCGGTGGTCTCTTACCTGGCATGTCAACAGGCGCCGTGAACACTGGCGGCAAACGCGTCCTCCGTTTGAAGTCATCAACTGCCAAATCCTCCCGCTCCGCCGTGGGTAGAAGCGGCGCTCTCCCAAACGCCCCCTCCAATCCCTTCCCTCCCCTTTCTGCCGCAGCTGGCCCATCCTCTCGCCGTGGAAAGGCTGCCGCTGCTACCCCTTGGGCAACAGCAGCCCCGCCATCTTTCCCCCGTCCTGCGATGCCTAGCCCGGTCAGCCGCCCATCATCCGCAGCACCGTCAGCACCGTCCTCCAGTCGCACGCCCGCCGCGCCCGCCTCCCGCAGCGCTGATTCTTTCCCCGCTCTTCCCGCAGCGGCCAAGCCCAATGTCCTCATGGCTGGAAAGACTCGTGGCACAGTCCGCTGGAATGATAACCGCGGCCCTGCCCCAAACGCATGGGGCTCGGGCCCGAGTTCTGGAACCGCTTCTCCGGCTGAACCCAGTAATGACGACTCGGGTAATGGCAAGAAAGGAAAGAAGAACAAGGGGAAGCAAACCCTGTTCCACTTCGGTTGATTCACTGTCATATTTCGATTGATTTATGTTTCTTATGTTGATTGGGCCTTGCTTTGGCCTATGTTTGATCGACTACCGCATGATGGGGAGCGCCATTAAAACGTACATGATGTGTTGGGATAAATTTCTTGTTCTTTTTTTTGTTGCACCTACTAGCGAATGCAGATACAATGTATTGTATAGAGGTAATCCATGTTATTTTAACTTCATGTGTTTGATATTATATACCGGGGAACGATGGGTCTTTCACAAACCGTCAAATAATCAAACGTCGTCACCATAGAAGTACATAAATATGATCTACAGGAATGGGGACAATAAAAGGCCAGCTCACTTACTATCCTCAATCAACTTCAAGTCCTTCAGACCAACACCACACTATCATTGTCAGTGACATGCTCGGACACACAATCTGAATCAGATTCGATCAAAATGGGTTTGGAGACAAGTGTGTTGTCCATTCCCTCGTTATCCTTACTCGAACCCACCGCTTGGGTAGGTGTATGAACCGACAAGTTGGAAACAGATTCAGTAGGGGCCTCCGTGGCACTTTCATCATCGGGGTATAACTCCATTTCTCTCTTTATGGCAGTCATGCGCAGCACAAAGTCATCCTGCAGTTTAACCAACAAAGCCCGAAGACTAGCATCATCCATCGTGCCGTCACGGGCAAGTAATAACTGTTCACGCAGAGACAAAAGCAACTTCCGCTTCTGTGCAATAGCAACAGCACGCGACGGACTGTTCCTACGCTTGGCCAGCTGGTCCATTGCCTCTGAGACGGAGCGCGCCTTGTTCAGGACGGCAGATGGGAGGTCAGCGAGCTTGGCGAGGACAAGTCCATATCGACGATCTGGAACAGGACCCTCTGCAATACGGTACTGCATGGTCATCTTGGATGCGTCGGGTGCGATCCCTGCTGCTAAGTGGAGATTGATCACACCGCTGCGCTCGGCAAGAATCTGTGCCAGATCGTGGAAGTGTGTGACAAACCAGACCAGGGCATTACTAGAGATGAGTGCTTCAGCTAGCGCAACGGCGATCGCGAGACCGTCGGTTGTGCTAGTGCCGCGGCCTAGCTCATCGATGATGACCATACTGCGTGGCTGGATGTTACGAAGGATGAATGCCATCTCGCGCATCTCCGCTGCGAAGGTCGAGACATTGGCATCTAAATCATCTGATGTGGCAACGCGAGCGAAGAGTTGGTGGGAGATTGGGAAGGAGGCATATTGAGCTGGGATGAAGCAGCCTATCTGTGCCATGACTGTAACCAGAGCTAGTGAGCGGATGTAGGTCGATTTGCCGCTCATGTTGCAGCCTGTGATGATCTGGAATCTTGTTTGCGGCGTTGCATATGCATCGTTTGGGATGAACTTGCTGCTATGAATCTGTTCTCGGATCGGATGACGGCCCGCCTTGATGGCGAGAGTGTCAGTCAGCTCTGGTCTGATGTACTCATGGTTCGTTGATAGCTGAGCGAATGCCGCGAGCATGTCTAGCATTGCAATTGCTTCACTGACTCGAAAAAGCCCGGATACTTCGGTGCACACGTCTCGGAGCAGGTCCTGGATTGTCTGGTCGCTCATGTTTATGACCTCGCTGTGGGCATCGGTGATCTTTTGATTGAGTTTGACCAAATCCAACGTCTGGCACTCAATGCGATTTCGCTTGCGGTATATGTTGATAAAAACATCCGGGAGTGGACCTGGTTCTGTAGCAGGGATACAGATGTAGTATTGCCGGGCAGTGTCATACTTCAAGTCTAGGACCATATCGCAATTTTCTGAGATAGGTCAGAATCATTCATGAAGTGTCATAATTTCAGACGTGCCTGATAATTTCTCAATTAGCTCCGTGGCGTCTGCATTCGCCTCCTTGTAGGTCTTCCTTGCAACATCGAGGAGACTGTTGACGCCGGCCTAATACATGTTAGCGATCTGTATCTAATGTAGTAGTATGAGTTGTAACCTTGACACAGTAGATACGCTGGTTCCTCAGATCAAGTGGCTTTGACTGATAGGCTACATGCTCATTCAAAGTTGTGTCAATCAGCTCCTCAATTGAACGATGCCCCTCAGGAGCGCACAACTAAACTGCATTAGTTTGAGTATAACACCAAAGGAATATAGAGTCTACTTCGCGTATGGTAAGCAGCAAATCGCTTTGTGCTGCTCCAAGCGCTTGGAAGATTTTTTTAATCGCAGACACATAAGTCTTGAGCATGATCACATTGTTGACCGACTGTTCGGCGTATTGTATTGTCCGCTTGGTGGGAACCAATATGATCTTGATGATACGTTAGCACGAGTCTTCAATACAGCTAGCTTCGGAGATTTTACCGCAGTCAACACTTTATCTGCATCAATGAAGCCCTTGAGCGCTTGTCTCACAGACGCAAACATATCCTCTTTGGTGGCCAGATCTTCCACAGCATTGTATCGGGCTGTCAACTTGACTCGTTCCGTTGAAGGCTGTAAGATGCTCGCTCGGAGTAGTCTGGCCCCCATAGGCGTCAATGTCTCGTTCAATAGTCCGAACAAGCTTTCTTTAGACTTCGCATTTTGCAGGTTCTGGATAAGTTCAAGAGAAACAATAGTCGCCAAGTCAATTGTCATGGACCCCTGGGACGGCTCGAAGCGTATCCGAAGAGAATGCGCAGTAAAAGATCGCTGGAGTTCGACTTCGACATACTTGAGGACCTAATTCCTATGTAAGTAGTTCCTTTTGGCAAGACGAATAGTGTTCATACTGCGGCAAAGCAACACGCTGCGAAATAGTTCCCGCCCAGAGTAACCTTGAGCGAGTCGACTTCCTCTGGAAAAGCCAGTCGTTCCACATACTCGTGACCTGTCTTTTCAGACCACCATCTGCGGTCTAGGAAGGTGAAGATAGGATCTGGCAGATTCTCTTGGATGATATAGCGGAGCTTCGACTCTTTGGCAGTGTTCATGAACAGAATCTCACTAGGTTCAAAAACACCAATCTTGATGATTGTCTTGACGTAAGTCTGGCTGTCACATATTTGACAGAGCACTGCTTCAGCTGTCGCAAGATTGACAAATGCGAGGCCAACAGTTGATGAGACGCCCCGCGATTCACTGACGGCGCAGATGATGTCTTGTGCTGCGACACTGGTGGCCGTTGTGGTTGGTCTTGCCGTTGGATGTCTACCTGTACCTCTGGAAGCCGATGGCGAAAAAGAATCCAGAGAATTCAATGAATTCAATGAATAAACCGACATTGTGTAGCCCAACTTTCATGGCCGAGATGATGTAGATGGGTAAATCGATAGGGCCGATAAGATAAGCGTCGAGATATTTTTGCTTGTCAAAATTTCTCTTCTTCCCCCATCGACCTCAAAATCAATAACCATGGCGACCCTCTATCCTCCCCCCAGCAAGCGCCAAAAGCTCATTATCGCCGATAAGGCCCGTGAGCAGCAGGAAATTGAGAGCATTCCGTCCGATTTGGGTAGTGTTCGCGTTCAATTCTTCGACCAAGCAACCGGACAGCCCACCGGACCTGCGGTCTCAGTCCCAGTCGCCGATGCCAATGTGAAGAACCTTGAGACTTTGCTGAACACATTACAAGGAAATGTAAGATTCGAACCGACTGCTTGACAAGTGAATGTTGTATTGACGGCGATTTCTTTCCAGGAGGATGATGGTCGAGTACCATACCGATTCGCCTACCATTCCGAAAAAGAGGAGCAAACGATTGATATTCTCCGCGATGTGTACCACTCACTACTCCAGCCCGGGATCAAGACTACCGAAGATACTGTATCACTTTTCTACACACCGCAGGCTGTTTTCCGAGTGAAAGCCGTTTCGCGATGCGCGGCCTCCATCGCGGGCCACGGCGAAGCAATTCTAGCAACATCCTTCTCCCCAATCTCATCCTCCACCATGGTCTCCGGAAGCGGAGACTCAACTGCTCGTGTTTGGGACTGTGACACTGGAACCCCGAAACATACGCTCAAGGGCCACACCAGCTGGGTGCTGGCAGTCGCATACTCGCCTAACGGCGCCATGATCGCGACCGGCAGCATGGACAACACCGTGAGGTTCTGGGATGCAAAGCAGGGCACAGCGCTAGGCGCTGGGCTCAAGGGTCACGCAAAGTGGATCACGAATCTGGCTTGGGAGCCATACCATGTGCAGGAGTCCGGGCGGCCGCGCCTGGCATCCGCCTCCAAGGACTCGACGGTGCGCGTGTGGGATGTCGTCTCAAGAGTAACTGACCATGTCCTTACCGGCCACAAGTCGTCGGTTACTTGTGTGCGATGGGGTGGTACTGGCAAGATCTATACTGCATCCCACGACAAGACCATTAAGATCTGGAACCCGAAAGACGGCACCCTGCTCCAGACCCTGGCGGCGCATGCCCACCGTGTTAATCACCTCGCTCTGTCGACAGACTTTGCCCTCCGCACCTCCTACCACGACCACACTGGCAAGGTCCCTGGGACTGAGGCTGAGAAGGTGGCCGCTGCGCGCAAGAAGTTCGAGGAGGCGGCGACAGTGAACAACACTATCGTCGAGCGGTTGGTATCGGCCAGTGATGATTTCACAATGTATTTGTGGGAGCCTTCCACTTCGAGCAAGCCTGTCGCACGGATGCTGGGCCACCAAAAGGAGGTGAACCATGTCACGTTCTCGCCGGATATGGCCTACATCGCCTCAGCAGGATTCGACAACCACGTCAAGCTGTGGAACGGCCGTGATGGAAAGTTTATCACCACCTTCCGCGGCCACGTGGGCGCAGTCTACCAGTGCTGCTTCTCGGCAGACTCGCGCATGCTGGTGTCCTCGTCTAAGGATACTACCCTCAAGATCTGGGACTTGCGCACCGGAAAGCTCAAGATGGATCTCCCAGGACACAAGGACGAGGTGTTTGCCGTTGACTGGAGTCCCGATGGACAAAAGATCGCCAGTGGAGGCAAAGACAAGGCAATTAAGATCTGGCGGAACTAGATCGAGTCGCACTTGACATCAACTTGCCCAAATCATGCTCTTACCAGACAGCTAGTCTGGTATAGGTCTTTGCCGTCTGACGTTGCATGCACCTAAGACGAGCATAATGTCCAACGCGCGAATGTTGGCAGTAGCACCTTGTGTGTACCCTCGAGTTGAGGGAGCCATGGGTGCCTCAACCCCCAAAGTCAACCCTCCGTGGATTTGATTCACACTATAAGTCTATAGGCTTATTTACTCAGTGACAGAGATCCCCAAGGCTGCCTGCTGCATGCCACGGTCAATGGCCTGGACAAAAAATGGAATCATAGAAACTCCGAAAGGCGTTTCCGTTTCGGACTAGATCTTGCAAATATAGATGCATGGAAGTTAGATGGTGGTTTAAGTGTGTGGATTGATTGATGAACCCTGTCCTGTCTACTGCCTGGGGCATAGGCTACAAGAGGACGCCCTTTATGTTATTTAGTTGCACCTTTATGAATATCATTTTTGCGTATTGACAGAAACTTTCACTGTAGAGCTCTACTAGTACTTTACACATAAAATCCAGCTAATTGTGCTCAAACAAGTCCTTTGCATAGGGTAAGGGCAAGTGTCCGTTTTGGGAAGGTGCGCGTGTTCTTGGGGATATAAAAGGGCTCCCACCCCCCGTCCTCTTCTTCTCTTCTTCCTCTCCCCAACCAGCTGGTGCGTGTACACCTATGGAGAGACATCAGCATTACCCAGATGCTGAGAGTCTTACCATGTGCTCTGTCCGCACCCAGATCAAACACCGGTTCTCGTGCGAGTCCTTTGATAAAGTCATGGCTGAGCATTTGGGCTCAAGTAGCTATTGGCGGTCCCACGGAATACACCCCTCCTATTCTTTTACTGTGATATCTTTGTACTATCCTAGATAGCTTAAAGTGAGACAAGTGTTACCCTTCTTCAACAACCCCTGCAGCCACTAACGCCATCTTGACTGTAGACTTTGAAACCATACGGGTGTTCCTGGAGCTTCTCGGCCCTTTGTTGCATGTGTCGAGGTAGATACCATTATGTTTACCATTCAACCCTACAACTAGAAATATATGAGATAGATTCAATGTTGTCAGTTTATTAAATCCAATCTGGATCCAGATATAGAAGGAGTGTAATTATGATACATCCAAGAAATCAAAGCAAGCTAGAACGATATCAACTAGAAAGCTATCAGAAAATCAACCACGTCATTAATCTAGATATATTGCCAAGCAGGAACATCCCCGGTATAAGTCAAAGCAACAGCCGAGAACCCAAGACACTCATCAACATTACCATGGGGCACGGTAGCATTCTGAATGGCAGCAAATACCTGCCAGCGGTTATCGTCAGCCGGGCAGGCCATGAAACCAGTAGCACCCCAACCAGCGAAGGAGTAGTGAGCCCAGGGTTTATCAGCAGCGTAGTGGAACGGGCCGAGGACAGAGCCCTGCGGGATATTGGCGGAGTGAGCCTGGGTGAAGCTGAGGGCTCCATTGGGGTCGATGTAGACCTGCTGGCCGCCGGGAACCATGGTGTCCTGTTGATTGTTAGCGGGTGTTGTGCTTTGTAGGAAGTGAGTGTTGGGGTATAGTGTGACTTGTGACTTACCAGAGAGCTACCGCCGGGAGCGAGGACGGTTTGGTTTCCAGGTGGGCAGTTTGACACCTGGGCTGGGCAGTAGGAGGCGGTGTTTCCGCCGAGGTAGAACTTTTGACCTGCGGCGTTCAGCTGGAGGTAGTGGATGGGCGAGGCGGAGCGGATAGCCATCACGCTGAATGCTGGGTTGGCGGCGGGCTCACTGACTGGTGCCGCAGCGGCCAGGAGGGGGAGGGCTAGGGTGGTGATAGTGAACTTCATTGTGGATTTGGATGGATATTGAGGTTTGAAGAGTGGTGTTGTTGTGTTGTTTTGTGTAGTTGAATAGATACTTGATTGGAATAGTAACAATACAGGGCGGTTGTTGGGCCTCTTTATATAGACCTACCAGGAATGTAATATAAATAGAAGCTGCACATGTTCCGAGAAACCAAACCAGGGAACAACATAGATCAAGGGGACTCCGTCATTGACTGTCGGATATGGCCGCTAGGGTGGCTGAGGTGGCGAGGGTCCCCATTGGATAGGATGGTGGATTGGGTGAGTTTGAGACAACGTCGAGGTACTGTATACTCTATATTCCGAATATAATTATCTTTTCTGCAAAGTCTATGCAACGGTATGAGGTTGGGTTACTACCGAGGATGCTATTTTTCGTCGCTTAGGCGAAGAGAATGTGAGACATGGAGAACCAGTCGTCTGCCAAGAAGAAGGCAAACCTCTTCCCCAATCCGAGTGGCTGATACATACATAACATGGTGGATTGAAGTTATTAGAAGTGGATTGAATATCTCTTGATTTTGGGGGAATCGGGGGGTTCGGGTGAAGATCTTCGCCCTTGTCTCAGTTTATTATTGGAACATCAACCACTTCACTACTCTGATGCCCGAGAGATATTGGTAACAGTCGGCTTAACCCACCAATATCCACTTTATTCTATACGAAAGACATCTACGCTATACGTTATTCGTTACTCAAACCCCTCTAACTACAGTATAGGTCGAATCTTCTACCCCCATGTCCCATCACCACCATGAACACCTCCCCTCCTACTTTCCCCAGAAAACGCCCCCGACCCACCAACGGCCCGACACATGAACCCATCTATTAGTTACCAAAAGAACTCTGGAAACCTTGTTTCCAGGGACATAAGGGACATAATCACACACCGTCCAACGCCACTGACGTTCTACCTCAACCGGCGAACATGCAGCAATATGCAATGTCTCACCGGACCCTGAATCCCACTACAACCGGTGCCGGCTAAACTGACAATGCCGAAGACCCTGATGCAGTCCAGTCTTGCAACTGCGCCGAGGTTGCCAGCTGCGATGTGCTAATAATATCCTGCAGCGACACTGCAGCGACACTGCAGGGCGCATACCCGCGACCTCGTCTGCTCGTGCCTTGCAGATACCAGCCAGGCGACGCAGAGCGAACACTATACCCTACCGCACTGGAGTGGAAGATTCCACCTAGAAGACGGTGTAGCCTTGTGTCAGAACGGGGTGAGGATGGGCAGAGCTAGTTGGGCGATTCTCTACGATGAGAATTCTTGGTTGGCGCAGTTGGGTGATTGGAATCAGTCAGGAGAGGGGTGAGGTCAGTCCGTTCCACGGGCGTTGTACATTGTCCGACGTGGGGAGTTAGTTGAGGTTCATGTTGGTGTATGGGTTGAGAGGTTCGTGTTGGACAGTCCGGTGTTGTCGGGGCTCTGCCAGGTCCGGTGTTTTCGGCTTTCTGTCAGGTACGGTGTGACGTCTCCTGTGAGCTGGGCTGTGTGGCGATGGTGGTGGGTTGGGTTTTGTTGAGGTTTGTGTCGTGTAGGATATGAATTTGTTGTACTACGCTGGGTGTAAGATTAGGCGGATGATTCTTGAATTGGATATTGGGTGCTATATTGGGTGGGCATGTGATATACATATGGTAGGCTGTACTATGTAGAGCACCATAAGACTTAGGTCTGATGTACATTCGACAGTTATGGTATTTTGAACTACAACTGTCTATTGTACCTAGACTATATATACACCATGCTCTTATACAGAGCCATATGATGCGATCTTCAGGACCCACTCAACACCTGTGGATATCACAGGCTCAAGTATAGTACTATAAGACTTAAGAGTACAATATCCGAACAGATAGCTGAACAACCTCAGTTGATTTGGATATCAAAACGACTTTTTCTATGCCGGGCAAACAGCCTCAGCACCCAGCAATTCAACCCGGACCTCGATTCGCCGAAAAGAAAAGTGTATGTACTTGCGGGCAATCGGCCGCGGAGGATATGAATAGACACAGCCATAGGCCAACAAAAAAATAAGGGGAAAAAATATTCGGAAGAAAGACATGAAACAAAAAACAGACAGAAAAAAATCCTAGCACCGGTCCGTGTAGCAATATTGAAACCTGCAAGCCTGAGTCTTGCCCAGAACACCGTAAGCCACGCGCCACCATTTGCTCCCCCATGTCCTGATTCATAGCAAGGGGAAAATAAAAGCCAAGATAAGGAAATATTATGAGACAATGCGCTGAGCCAAGTGCTCCCGCGTATCGCGCAGTGCACTATGGATCAAAGAATTGCTCTTTTAGTAGTCGCCTTCATCATCGTCGTCTCCATCTCCACCTCGGCGGGGGCCCTTTACTCCATCCTTGCGAATGGGGATCTTGATACCCTGTAGCGCAAAGCACTTGCTGAGCTGAGTGCTCTCAATAACACCGGGGAATTTCTTGGCGGAAAAGACCTGGAAGGGTTCAGAGAAAACCGATGCTAGAACGGGTGCGGTTCCGTGATTGATGACCGGAGCGCCGTTGGAAGTCTCGGTAGACGACGTGCCCACATCAACGAAGCTCATTTTCAGACTGGATTTCCATTAGCGATTGTTTGGAGTGATTTCCATCCAATTGACTTACCGGAAAGTGCCTTCTGTCCGTACACTCAAATCTTGAAGGATAAACCACACGCCAATTTTGTTGTCTGGGTCCGTCAACCGGAAAGCACTGGCGCTGAGGCTTCCGATCAGATTGCGAGTGAACATACCACCCGGTCCACCAGAGACGGGTTGCGTAGCGGGCGACATGGACGGTGGCATTTGGCCACCGGAGTAGTATTGGGGATACGTCACTGCCTGGCCGTATTGGTTTTGGTACGCCACCTGCTGACCACCGTAGTAGTTGTTCATCTGCGGTGGGTATCCCACGGGGTACTGGGTTTGGTTGTAGCCCGGGTAGGTCGGAGAGACGCTTTGCGGCGGGGGAGGGTATGAGGAGGACATGGCGGTAGAGATGGAGGGGGAGGTTGCGGAATGCTTGACGAGGTTGACTTCATTGGTTCCATCGGCATTCCACAGGTCGACGGTGAGCACATAGAATGATGTATCGATTTCACTAAAGTGGGAGAGAGACGGTTAGAAAGCCGAGGGAGTAGAGAGTAGCTGGGTGGACATACTTGATATCGATTTCCTTGTCGGTTTGCGCATCGCGCACAATCAGACGAATGCACGGCGGGGGAGTAATGGGTCTCCGGTCCTGGAGGTGTGTTAAAAGAGGTAGCAAGACAATAATTGCGGAAAAATCACCCACCTTGTCACCAAATCCACACATACGAGCTCGGATAGGCTGCTGGACCACTTGTAATGACCAGGAGCGACCATCTTGGTAGTTTGTCACGGGGGCCAAGTGGTCGGGTTGCCGTAGCGAGTTGGGCCCCGACGGGTACTGGACGGACGGAGCAGAGATGCGATCCATTGAGAGCGGAGGTGGGACGGGATGATGTCTATCCTCGACGGCGTACATGGTACCGGATTGTAAGGAACCGAGGATGACTGATAGATAAACGACGGGTTCCTGATTTTTCTAGATCGATTTGATAGATCTTAACTACCTAGTTGTTCGAGTAGAGAGGTGGGGTGTTGGAGATGCGACATGCGACCCCGCGGGATGTTCAGACGTCACACTCGGAGCATCGACTTTCGGGGCTGAACCGAGAAACAGAGAAAGGGTGTGCCCAACGGAAAAAGCAGCAGTCCCTTTGAATATCTCGAGACTGATCCAAACCGATCAGTCCAAAGCGCCTTGAAGAATCCGTTTCGATGCGATATGGGCAGAAAAGTGAAGCGAAGGGGTCGCAGAGGTTTATTCGCGAACTGTTGAGCTCGGGGGAGGGCGGGAGAGGCGATGTCAGAGGAAGTCTTGGATTTCTTGAATCTTGATTCTTCTAAAAGATTATTGTATTAGCATCAGGTTCAACTTCTTCAACTTCATCTTCTGAGCTTTTTTTTTGGGTCAACCGCACGATGACGCTGTCAAAATGCGGGAGATTGGCTGGGGCTTCCACGGATCGCACAGGATAACGTACCCGAGACACAAAATGGAAATAATTTCAGAAGAAAAAGAAAGAAGACGTTCTCAGAGTCAAAGAGTAAGAAGAGGTTACAAAGACTCTCTGCAGGAACCTTAAACCAAACCGTCGGGTTTCAATTAGACGAATGAGATGAAATTTGAGAGGCTCAAAGAGTCCGCATTCGGGCTTCATCCAACCCGCAAACGGTCTTCATTTGATTCGACGAAATTTTCAACTCGACTCCATTTGAACCAGATTTCCATTCAGAATACGTCCATAACTACGGAGTAGTACTGTAGTACTATAGTAATGTGTTGGTCATCGGGGCATTCTCGGAGCCGTGTACATTACTTACAGCATATAGAGATTCTATTCAATCTACTCCGTATAACATATTCAATCTATTCGATCTTAATAATTTAATACATATAATATACCTAATATAACTAAATATAGATTTCAAAAGTATGTCCAAAAGTAGTATGTCCCATAGTATCTCCGAAACTCCAGAACTGATTACCAATGTACCCCTTACAGTAGCCTCGAGGATGACAGGTCCCGATCGTGTGGTAACCCCTGGACCCCTGATTTAATGAGATGGATATGTACGGAGTATCACGGCGTATAAACTGAAGGTGCTAATATCTACAATATAGCGGTGGAATGCACAAGTCATTACCTGGTCGATCGTCGGAAATGCTATCCGCTCAAGATCAAAAAGATAGGATAGGGCAAAGATGATTTAGGATATCTATTAAAGGGCCCCGGGGTCTCCATAGTTCATTAATATAGTGGTAATACTTTGCAGATATTAGTAGATCCTCTACGGAGTAAATGTACGGAGTACTCCGTATAGGGTACCGCATCCCTAGTGAGAACAGCCCTGAAGGGATTGCGGTATGTGAGGTGTTCGAATCGGACTCCCCGAAAACCAAATGGCATTTTGGACATGTCGATTATCAAAATTTTCAAATCTCCCGTGTTAGTGGTCTCCTTACTATTTATTTCTCAGTGAACCGATCAGGTATTCCCCAATTAAACCCCCGTCGTGCCCATCTCGCGTGTTGATCATCCTCGGAACTCACTGGCCAATCGACAGTGGCCTCACTTCCTCCAATAGAGCCTAATTATGAGCAATGATCTGATTTGGGTTGTCACCGCTCGTGTCGATGGTGTCGCGTGCAATCTGCTTGGCGTGCACGTTCCCCAAAGTGGTACCAAGTCCAGCACCGTCACCAAGGCATGTCGAAGCCGGGTTCCACACATCCACCCTCAATTTCTTCTCCCCGGAACATAGCTGAGTGGGTTAGACAGTCATTTTCAGCTATAGACACCCCATGAAAGGCACAACGAGCATTGTGTAGATCAAAGGTGCTGATCGCTAAAGATGCGGGAAAATAGGAACGGACAAGTGTTGTGGGGCATGCCACCCGCCCGACTGGGAGCTCCCTCTCCACAGCTACCGGCCCGTCAGCCTCGCGTCAAAGCTTCCTAATGGAAACCTTGGAATCTGACCAGCTCGCACGCCAAGTATTTGGATTTGCATGACCTCGGAACAACCGCCAAGCCAAAGTAACCTTTGCGGTCGGTCATGCGTTCGGTCGATTACCTAGGCGCAGCTCAGCTGGACTACTACCGCACCACTTATCCTGAGACAGTGGATATGGCCTCGCTCATTTTCCCCGGTTAGCTACGCGGATGTGAATAAAGGGTTGGACACTCTTGAGAGTTCGATACAGTCAACAGCCCTCCCCGTGTTCTAATTTTGCGCCCCGAGCATATCAAGTTTCTCATTGACCCCGTCCGCAAGTACACAGGCAGTGGTGTCTACACCAAGAGGTATACCGTGCATGAGATCAGTGCAAGCTACCCCCGAAGCCACAGACTACTAATTGCCGGGCAAACAAATGTATATAGAAGAGTGCGGCAACACAACCATCCTCCCTAGGTAATATACGCCTACCAACTCGCCAGGCAACTCCGATCTAGCCACAATCTATGCACCCCAACTAGAGCAGTCAGTCGAATATCTCTACAAGAAAGGCCTCTACCCAGCCTGCCAGCTAAGTTCTCACTCGACGACGCCCTAGGCGAGCTAGCAAACCAAACCTAATCAACCTAGTCGTGAAGGCTGCCGTCAGTCTGGCCACCTACGGCGCGCTCACAGACTCACGCAAATCAAAAGCCACAGGCAAGGGCTTCGCGCATACAATTTGCTCTCAACACCTCGGTACTGACCCGGAAGGCGCTCACTTCCTCCTTCAGTATGGCATCGCCCTCTGGTTCCTCGTATGAGACCATAAAACAGACTTCCAGTGATGCGTATGTAGCTGGGCAGTGGTACTCTTTGCATAATAAACTTACGCTTGGTAGTCATTTTGCCTTGGGGGCTTTGATGGGGGCTAATAGCTGGCCTTCGTGATGTATTTGCATTGGCATTGGCAGCAGCGTCTGTAATCTTAATTATTATCTGCCATACATGATCCAATCGTCGGTGTCAATTCTCCGTGCCAGCAAATCTCACGCGGGGGCGGATCATCTCCTGAAATGGACGTTTTGGTGCTAGAGTCAAGTCATACGGCTTTCCCGCAAAAAGCTTTTGCGGTCAATAATGCCGTTGCGCGAGGTGTCAACCAAGTTGTGTTACACGGCCAATCGTATATAGGCAAATACTATGGCACAAACTAACCGGGCTACACTACTTTCCATGTTTTCTCTGATTCTTTCTCTGACAAATAGCGACTATGCCTTTGATGTTTTGGTCAGTGCTAGTAAGATAACCTATTTGGGGAGCCCCGGAGATGTTTAAATGGCAATTTATCTCCGCTTACGGTATTCTTACACCTCAGGTGTGTCTGCCCCAGATGATTTTGCACCGTCTCCAGTCAAGGTAGTACCGACACCAATCCCACTTAGTCTTGATGGTGTGCAGTATATCATAAAAAACGCCCTCTGGATGACAATTCTCAGTGGTGGAGACTCGGCATGTATACAACCTAAAATGGACAGATTTACAGTCGAAAAAGCCATTCGTGTGTTTAAGAAACCCAAGGATGGATAAAATGTGTCTGATGGCCCAACCACCACCAAACTTCAACCTCTCAGTCTCCAGCCCAACTTCGGTGTGGAGACTAATGGCAATTAATACCAACTTGGGCAGGAGGATGCGCTTAGCGCCATGAATTACACCATCTCGTCTTGAAACACCAAACGCATCAAGTAGCGCTTTTGGTATCATTAGCACCAATACATCTTAAACTCCCGGACCGGGGAGAAAGGCCTGTGTTCCGCCATCAACGCAAAAACAAGTGGACGGTGGCCATCCTCGTCTTGGCAGGTAACCAAATGGTAATCATCGGACTCAGACACCGGAAATCCCCTCAAGGTGTATACCACTGGCACCAGGAATCGGATTATCTGCGGAGTTCGGGATTAGTATTACGCCGAAGATTTCCCTACACATCACGGCAAGCCTACAACACAAGTGATCAGACAATCCACCCCTAGGCTACCAACGGAATTGTCCGTCGGAGTCCCCAAGTATCCGGTTAGCCAACTGGACCCTTGTTCTGATGCAGCTACTATTGCCGCTAAGCACAACTCATCACCTCAGATCCTTAACCTCCTATATCTGGATTGACGGTAATAATAGCCTTGAATCATGGCTGCCTAATATACCAAAAGCTTCAACTTGCCACCGACCAGTAAATCTGGCTTGGTGGACAGTATATGCTTTCAATCTATCAAGCACATGGTGAGGTGCTATCTCAAAACTATTGCCGCTTGATCTCGTAGCTTCCCGTGCGGACTTTGCGTAGTTGCCTTAAAAGTGTTATCACCCGATGACCTTCGGTGTGGCATTACGTCCGCAGTGTCCCCGGTCAGATCTAGAATACCGATGAGGTGGCGCTACTTAACATCCTAGCATCAACGCCACCATGCGCAGTGAGAATGTGCTTACTGGCGAAGTGAAGGCATCAGCCCTGCGAAAGACTGGCGGTAAATAAACAAGCGGTAAATAAACAGGGGGTCACCTGTTACGCACAATTAGCCTAAATCTAGTGAATTTTGCACGCACGCACTCACGAAGCCCGAGTGATACACAGAAATTGAACACTTTTCAAATGCGACCTAAGTGAGAAAATTATGCGTTGCCCTGCATCTCGGAGCTAACAGGCTAGGCGCAGTATGATCAGTAATCATGCCATTTACTAAACGACGCTAAAACAAACGCCCCCAGTCAAAGCCACAAGGGTCCCAAGACCCCGACCAGGAAAATGCTCTGCGGCTGAGCGGATCGCAAGTCAGCTTGACAGGGCCCTGGGGTAGGTTGCGTGCGAACTAACACCCGGGGCCTACGAAGTGGCATGGTCATCACTTTAAATGGGTGTGATGTACAGAGTAGGGGGGTGGAGTCCTTCGATAAGTACCAGAAGGATCCGAGCAGCCCAAACACCCAGGGCAGCATTAGCTGGAATTAGTAAAAGGGGAGAAAAGATGACCAATAAACACAATCTAGGCCTTCCAACGTTTCAATTCGAGTTTCTAAGCCCGATTATGTATACCTAGGCAAGGCCATCCGGAGCTGTGGGGAATAGTCTAAGCTTGCGGGTAAAAGATTAGTCCGATGGAATTGACATGCGATGACCAATCCCTAGTGTAGTGGTTTTCCTTAAACAAGTAATAACGCGGACTTGAGCTAAGACGAAACCGTGCTAATCAGAAATAAGCCTAGGGCATGGAAGATCACGAGCAAGGATAAAGATATGTACCCGAGATGTGTCCACCTGGGAATGCATAAAGTGCATTCCAGAGGGGTTCAAGCGCTTGCGTCTTCCCTAATCGGGAAAAAGCATCGCTTGTCGAGTGAAACTTATTTAGGATAGACTTAACCGGCCCCATATTGCTAGTCCCGAAGTGGCTTTAGTGTGGATTATTGGATTGTTCTAGGGGCTGGTGGGGCTGGTGGGGGGGTTGCCATCAACAGATGCTTTTTCATTTGTTTTTCTGTTGGAATGTTGCTAGTGACTCTACGGAGTAACTTTTGCTTATACTAAACTAGGATAGAGTGCCGGGTATCTCTCGCATTAGCTCGTATTGATAACACATCCGCTTTACCGTTTTGCTTTATAGTGTGGCTTAGAATACGAGAACGAAAACATTGGAAGTTTGAGGCTTGAAGTAGCAATAATTGATTGAACCTTGAGTATTGCAAGAACTGAGTATTCCGTACTCCGTACTCTGTACGTCTATATGTAATATATTAGACCTTGTATATAAAGCAATTTAAATTAGCGGCGTTACTCCGTACGGAGTACGGAGTACATATCGCGAACACAGCGAACACGGTCCCGGGGAGCCTTGAAGTGGGCACCGGATTATGTCATTTGAAGCACGAGCCATCCTGCATTTACCGAATTGGGACACAGCGCCACTCTTACCTCTTTTGGCGCTTTGAATGCCGAGTTGGCACTGGGCAGTGGAAATGGACATATCAAAATATTAACACCTAATCCCCCCCCCCACCGTTTCGGCCTATGACTGATATGACTTTCTCATGATATCAGGAAGTCCCTCTCCTTTCTCCTTCGGGTGATATTTGGACTATGATTCAAGTTCACTGCAACCCCCGAATCAAATAACCATTCAGGGTCTCGAGCATTACACCTCTACAATGCAATCATGCGAATCAACATCCTCTTGGTCGAATAAACGACGCCAAAAGAGTATGCAAAGTGACCGGCGCGTTAAAGTATGACACCCCCTACTTAGGGCTTCTGAGCCCAACCCATTTCAGAGCTTTCAATTGATAGTGAGACTGGAGGGTCCAGTTCCCATTGCTCATCTCTCTCTTCGAATCCTACCATTTCTCCCACATGTTCCTACTAACGCAACTCTCACAGTATAAGGAGCAGAGCTCAACTTGTGTGCATTGCCTAGGTCGCAATATGCTCAGCCAGTATCCACCGCGGCCCCGATTGACCCGGCTAGATAACAAGCATGGGTCTTTCATCCCCTCAACTAGCACTTCGCCATCATCTCCAACTCCCACAACAGGGTTCTCGCCCTCGCAGTCGAATCCTCAACCCCAAGAAGAGCACCCACCAACATGCATCGAAGAAAACCTTCACCTAAGAGACCTCGAATTAATGATGCACTGGTGCACAACAACCTACAAATCCATGGCAGCAGACCCCGCCTCTGAAATAATATGGCAAACAAACATCCCCCAGCTTTCCCTCCGTTACCCAGCCCTTCGCCAAGGTATCCTCGCCCTCTCAGCGCTGCACGTCGCCTCAACAAGCACATCTTCCAGACGTTGGGAATACCTTGAAACAGCACGCTCGTATCAAACACAAGCGCTGGCAGGCCTCCAAATCGAGATCGACGAAGATACACCGGAAGCAGAATGTCAAGCGACCTTCGCGCTTTGTTGCATAATGATTGTATTCACCTTCGGCTTCTGCCAAATCGACAGTGAAAACGACGCAGACGAAGAACTGCCCGATGTGCTGGACGAGTTCTTCGAGGTATTCCAATTAACTCGGTGGCTAGTCAGCATCCTGGTGACCTCAATGGAACGCATCAGGATGGGCGAGCTAAACCCGCTCTTCCACCCTGAAGAACCGCTCCCAACAATGCCGGATATGTCACGACTAGTGATTCTCTCGCTACAGCGACAGAATAGCATAGAGGCCATGCGGGATGCGACGCACCAGGGGGATCTCTACGACTCGGCCATTGAACATCTCAGCCACGCGCTCGAGCAGCTGATGAAGGGCGGCGAGCCGAAGGTGTTTGCGTTTTGGTGGAGTTTCCGTATCCCCGCGGAGTTTTTAGAGCTGCTTGAGGCGCACCAGCCGTTTGCGCTCGTTCTTCTCGCGCATTATGCGGTTATTCTGCATCATCTCAGGAGTTCGTGGTGGATGGGGGATTGGGGGACCAGGATTCTGCAGGATATTGGGGATATTCTTGAACCGGAGTGGCAGGATCTTATTAACTGGCCGATTGATGCGACGGGGTGTTTCCTTCCAAGGACCGAGGCGCGAGTGCGAGTGATATCCCCGCTTAGCTTTTGATGAGTTTTTGCATTTATTGTGTGGTGCCCTTTTCAAGTGGCTTGATTGAGCGTGAGCGATGCATCTAATGAGACATGAAGCGTGTGATTAGCATAGACAATTGATTGTAAATAGCATAATTTCTTCAATTGAGACAAGGATCGCTTGTCATGGGAAGTATATCATTTCTCGGTGCTGAGGAAACAACTCCGGGAAACATAGATGATCGTTGCAATACACATCGGAGCGTATATCAATAGAGGGAAAACAAAATCCCGCCCAAATGTAGCCCAAGCGCCGTTCCTTTCCCGGTATTGCATGATAGGTATGAAGCAATTCCCCGAGTATATGAAACCGGGAACGCCGATTGGAGAAACCTTGTGAAGAAAAGAAAAGAAAGAAAAGCAAATACCACAAACCCATAAGTCTGACCAATAGCTCGATGGAAAAAAAATAGAGGACCCTCACATCGAAGCAGCACTGCCTGCAGTGATTTCTGATTTTCTGCTCGGACAATCACCTCTTCCCGGATCGGCGTTGCAGCCAAAGAAAAAGCAAATCCAAATTCAAATCCCTTCCGCAGCCTATTCCAGACCGAAAATAAACCTCCCTCGAAGCCTCCAACGAAGAACGGATAAATCGCAAACAAAAGTCCACCCCACCCACCAATTACCATAACCATCCTAAGAAGCAGGTGAACCCCTCCGCAACTCCTGCCTCTCCTGCTCAATCTCCCTAACACGATCCTTAGATTGCGTGCGGACACGAATAAGCTCCGCCTCCTGTTCCTGGATCTTCTTCTCGTGCTCCTCCTCTTCGGGAGTAGGGATATAAGCGTTTGCCGCGCCGCCTGTGGAAACAGCACATCTGTTAGCGGCTGTAGCTGTAACCACCTTGCAAACGACCGAAGTCGCATTCGCTCTATATATGTGATGTCTAGAACATACCTCGGCCTGTGTGGTGGGGGATCTGCTGGGCACGCAGGGGCGGTGACTCGACGTCTTGGCTCTCGCGCGCAATTTCTGGTCGCTCCGGGTCGTTGTGTACCATGTTGCCTGAGCCGCCGCGGCCCGTTGTGTAGACTTCTTGCTTAATTGTTGGCGTGACAAAGTCTTTGGGCGAGAGCGCGGTTTGTTGCCGGGTTATATTGCCTATGGTATAGTGGGTTAGTTTGGTGGACTGATGTGGCGCGTTGTGAGCAATGGGGGGGGGCAAGGGGGTGGCATTTACCTGCCCCTCCGCGGCCATAGGAGATGTTTCTTGACATGGTGTAGATAGTATGCGATAGCAAAGACTGGTAAGTTGGGGGGAACCTCAATTAAGGGAGTTTGGACGGGGATGAGGGAGCTGTGGTGGGGAGAAATTCGTAATTCGCCAAATGACGACAGACTTTTTTCTCTTGGCTTTTCATACTACCAGGTATGTACATTATAAGGACACGGTTATATTCTTATCTCTGTCCAATATGCAATGCCTATCCTATATCTTATATTCCAAGGTTCTACATTCAATATTTTATATGTATGAGCTCATAGATATCTGAACTTATTTCCGCGCTAAGCCAATGAGGTCAGGGTCTTGCAGGCCTTATCAGCCTCTTTAAGCGCCCAATCCGGGGAGAACTTTAAATGGGATTTTTGCATTTCACTTTCTATTGAGTACATTTAAAATACTGATAGGTCATCCTGCCAGCGTTGAGCAAAGTCGAAGATTGGATATAGCACTCACTATATCAAAGGCTATGTAGTAAAATTTCGTTTCCATAATTCAAGCCGTTTTCCCGCCATTTCCCGCCTTCTAGGAGTTGCAATCGAGTAAGAGATGCTTAGGGGATAATGACGAAGCAAGATTGAATGTGAAATTGATTAAAAGATTGTTGAAGAAGTAAAAGCGTAAGACACACAACAACCATTACCTTTAGGAGTGACTTCCTCACACTTCCACCTTTCACGACCCTTAACCTTACCTTCCTCTTGTCACTAAAATAAGCCATCATATCCATTCCATGACTTAACTCCAATTTCGGGTAGCGTGAGACCGGACTTGATGAGCTCATCGACCGAGGAGCTTCCCTACCCAAGGCTTCTGCCGGAGAAGTAATTTCAATTCTTGATATATGTGTACCCTTGCATGATGAAACACCGGAGTGAAAAGCTCTCACTTCACATTCATCTAGCGTAGCATCATATCTCCCCTTAGTATACCGCTGACAACTTCGTTTAGCGCTACTAAGCGAGCCATTCCTAGTCAAGTTGAGCCCGAGCTAGTCCGAGGATATTAATATGATATGAAACCATTTATTCATCCTGTCGGCATATATAAAGGGCTGACAACCTTGCAAAATAGGAAACTACCCAGGTGGCTGCCACCCAGCCAACTCAAGGCCTGCTACATGCGCACTACTAAGGTAGTCGAACTTTCCGTGCACACTAGCATCAATTTTCTGTGCCGTGATGTGCGACACTATCGCCCGAGTCACATTTTTAGAGTCGCAGGGGGCCCGAAAACTCGTGGAAGCCGCCAGTACCGATGGGTTCTACGTCTAATCCAAACGGTATGAGGTGCAATTAATTCGCTCCGTTACATATCCAATCAATCCAGCAATGCATGGACTAATCAAGCTCCAATGGCGTTCCCGGATCTTGGCTATCTCCAGCTCCAACAGGGATAAAGCACCAAAACGCGTAATTTACGCAGCCCTCTCATGGTCTTCTGTCACCGCTCGAGTTAAAGAAATCAGTTTACATGGTCGCTCAGATGAAGCCATTGTTCATTCTTTCTCTATTGAAGCGGCTATACTTGGCCACGAGATTCTCAAGCGTGATGTGGCTAGCCGAAATTGGCTGGGTAAGTTTGTCCCTAATGTGTCAAGTAAGGCACACATTGGAAGAGCCCAAACTATCTGATGGCCTGATTAGCATTAACTAAAAAGAATCATACTGAGACTTCAGTTTCCCTCGGTTTCCATTCATGTTTCACCAGCTAGATAAGCATTTCATGTGATAGTAGGGAGTATATTGTCACTTCCTTTCTGTTGTTTTGATTGTCTGACACAGTATATGAGACTAAATCAATCCAACTCTCTAAAATCTAGATATTATTCAATTACACTTAGTCTGCTACCGGGGCTACTTAGGACCGGCCACTACCACTACTACCACTAGGCCCCCAACAGATCCCTAGGGGATTACTCCTATAATTAAGTCCCAGTTGGTAGAAGTAGTATGTCTACCCATTAAGAGAGGTCAGCTACTAAAAATTATTGTTCGTTATATTAGAGTTGCCATAAATCTGACTTCATTAGGATCACCTTTGACTATGACTGCACTATGTAACTAGGAAGAACAGATAATTCTTAACTAAACAACCTGCTCGATCTATCCCGACTAAATCAAAGCGGGCGGCTCATTTTGACATTTTATGGCGATTGATAGATTATGACCTGGTAAAAGCAGTTCATGCACAATGTATATAGTTCTAGCACTCTTGGCGCTTTCCAGATATATATACTGACAAAACCAAAGCTGTCCCATTCTCCTATTTCGTTTACCATTTCTGCCTGATGCACTAGGCCTGTGTTAATCGGTGTATATAAACCAGCCCAGCCCCTTCCAAGGTTGTTGGTGGAATTCAAACCTCTTCCTCTCTATATAACGATCAACTATAATCGGTTAAGAATTCCCTTAGTATTATACATCGCACTGTCTATATCACCCTTCAAAAAAAAAGTGCATAGAGCCTAAATGACCTGCCTCTCCGGAGGGTTGAGCTTCCACAATCTTCGGCACCATCATGCTCCCCGTCAATATACTCTGGTTGCCTACCTACATCAGCTATGGTCTTGCCTTTGTACCTGGAGGACCAATGTACTCCGTCGTGATCTGCGACAATCCTGCTCATCAGCTCAATGACCGCGATGATTGCACTTTCTGTCGAACACTGGATATTTCCCCCAAAGAATACTTGAGATACCAGGCCTTAATTAGCTGTAGATAGCTCATTGTGGTTTGAAGAATCAACTCTTTCTCCTCATACTATAATCATATAGTAGTGCTCTTCGCCCATTGTAGTCTCCATCTACTTCAAGTAATTTGAAGTGCAACTTCCAAGTTCCCTGATATATCAGATTGTGAAGATCATGATGTCGGTTGTCGCCGGGGACCCATTCCGCTTACATAACCCGGCTCCACCTCCAATTCTCACTTCACCTCTGGAAGACTTGGAATCTGCAATTAAACCAATTCCAATTCCTCACCATTATGAACGTCAATCCCATCAGCATGACTATCCGCACAGCGATATCCCTTGGCCGACTAAACCCCGCCGCGCCCTCGCTCGCGGGCGCCCTCCGTCCCCTCCAGACCACTCCCCAGATGGCATCCAAGCAGCTCACACGCCTTAGCTCCACGACAGCTCGCCCGGCCGCCGCAACACTGAATCTAGACTCCCGGCCACACGCGAAAGCCGCATCGCCATCATCCATCGTTGTGCGCACAAACTCGACCTCAGCACCTGCCAACAATGAAGTCAAGCTCGATTGGGATTCCTTCTTCAAGCTCCGCGCTTCCCGCCGCCGATACTCCCTCGTCTCCTCAGTTGCCAGCTCCGCTATCAGCACCAGCGTTGGTGTGCAGGTCTTGTCTGGGCAGGACCTTGAACACCTCGGCGCGACGGTCATGGGCCTCGACCCATTTGTTGTCCTGGGATTGGCGACCGCCACATGCGGTGCTATCGGATGGCTTCTTGGACCGGCTCTTGGAAATGGCATTTGGGGAATCGTGTACAGGAAGTACAAGCCTTCCGTCAATACGGTGAGTAGTTGAAAAACAAAACGGCAATCTATGTCTGTTCTATGCTAATGTGTTTCGTTTCCACTGTGCAGAAAGAGAAGGAGTTCTTTGATCGCATTCGCCGGTTCCGTGTCGATCCCTCAACCAACTCTATCGCTAACCCTGTTCCCGATTACTACGGCGAGAAGATTGGTAGCGTGGCGGGCTACCGAAACTGGCTGAAAGACCAGAGGGCCTACAACCGCAAGCGCCGCAACTTCATTGCCTAGTTCTTATTCTCTTCCTCTCTTTTCTCTCTTGTGATGTTGGAGCATTTCTTTTTTTGTTCGTGTCAATATGGTTAAGCCTCTTGGAGCTTCTGTTCAAAACCAAATCCGGTGACTTTCTTTTTTGTCCGGGCCGGTGTTTATTTTGTTACAATATCATTAGCGGTCTTGGTAGCTGGGGCATTGCAATGTATTTGGAATGACCTTTGATAACGCGGTCAATTTATAGCTATTTTTTTCGTGGCATTTATTAAGACTTCTATCCTTTGGCGCTACTACGATTTGTAATGTCAGGTTTCGGATTAGAGCTTCGAATGCGCTTTTGCTTTTGCCTTAGGGTTCCGACCAGTATCAACCTCTGTCCACCACGGCACACTCGGTGGCGGGTTATCATCGAGGTTAGCCTTGAAGTTCGGCTTTCGCTTCTCAAAGAACGCCGTAACACCCTCTTTCTGATCCCTGTCCGATAGTAAGTATCCGCAATTAGCTTCTCCATATGTATTTCACTTACTCCGATCCAAACATGTGGTTGATGACTTGTGACTCGATGAGATGTGCAGCCTCCGCCGACCCAGTATCGCGCCACATAAGCGCCCGATTGAGGTAAGACGAAGCCGGACTAACATTCTCAGCAATCTCGGTGGCTAGCTCGAGAGCGCGCGGCAGGACCTGCGATGGGTCCGGGAGGATCTCATTGAAAAGGTCGCCGAAGTGCTTAGATGTAGGCGGGAAGACTCCTCCCGTGCTGACGAGGTAGTTGGCGTTTGAGTGGCCGACGAGACGGGGGAGGAAGTATGAGGCGCATGATTCGATGGTTATACCTCGGCGGGCGAAGACGAAACCATATTTACCTTTTTCATAGCCGATTCTAGAAGGGCAAGAGGTATGAGCATGAATGTTAAACAAAAAAAGCTCCAGCGGGTGTATGTTTTCTAGATGCGATTGACCTACCGGATAATCGCCGGAAGAGTCATAGTCATGCCGACTCCAACAGCTGAACCTTGCATTGCTACAATCGTTGGCTTGCGGCATCTATGGATGGACAGTGAGACTCGCCCACCACTAGGTTGGGTTTCTTAGCAAGAGTATACATCGTGATATAGGGTGGAAGTCCTCTTACCCGTCACGATGGTCCGCCGTCCTGTCCTTACCACCGCCGAAACCAATTTCAAGATCTGCCCCAGCACAGAATGTCTTTCCCGCACCCGTCAAGACGACAACTTTCACACGCTCGTCGACATCGAACATGGGAAAGAGCTTTTCGAAATCCACGACCATTTGCGGGGTGAACGCATTATGTTTAGCCGGACGATTCAGCGTTACGATGACGACGGGGGTGACTGACGGCGTGCCTGGGGGGTAGTGAGAGACGACGACATGGCCGGTTGTTTCAACCCGTTCGTAAGAAGATGGAAGCTCGATGGGGCTTGGATCGAAGATCATGATGGATTTTGGGAATATACTGTCTTTGTTCAAGTGGGCTAGTCCCTGTGCTTAAATGCACACTCCTATATACCATCTCTCGGTTATACTCTTCGACCGTTCAATAATCATAAACAGCCTACATCGAAAGCCGCGGCGCTCGGCTGGACTGGCTTGGCGTGGGGAAGCTGGGGGATCAGCGACCCCGCTGCGGAGTCGTGGATTTCGATCTTGACGTGCATCGTACATGGTTGTAGTCCATTAGATATACCTGGGATACTAAAGTTACCTACGAAGCTACATACATACAGGTAAGAACGACATGTTCGGTGTGACTTGGAGGTTCGGCCTGTGTAATGCAAAATGTTGGCCAGTCATAGAATGGACATGATGATTTAGTTTAGTGACAAGAAGAAAATATTAATAGGCATGTGTATTAGAAAGTAGAAGGTAGAGATAGGTGGCGACAGTATATAAATAGTAGACAAGAAGGACAAACCTAACACACTAAAGGGCAAACCTTTAAGGACATCGCACGATGTCTCGCTTTGTTAGAACCTTCCAATGTTAGAAGGTGAGGGGGATGATTAACCCTATCACTTCTTCATACTATATAGTGCTCCATTCTAGCTCAAACCATTGCTAGGCGTCGTGAGAACCTAGAGTCTGCAAATTAAGGCTGGCAGGACCACCCAATTTGTTCAAACCAGAAAGGCTCAGACTCTAACCTAGAAACTGACCGCTAGCCAGGGCAATCCAAGGCAGATTTTCATCCCAGCAGTGTTGCATCAATTGACGCGCGTTTTGAATCTAGTGAATATAGTATCAGAAAATCTCCCCAAACGAATGCCAGACTAGTATATAAGCATACCTGTTTCATGCCCGAGCTCTCCAATACAAAGAATCGGTCCAAAAGCTTATCTTGTTGAACTGGATCTCTGGATTCACAACCAGCCGTGAAGAGCGGGAACAAGGAGCAGACTTCTGTGGCTGCACCAGGGCGCATGCGCCCGAGGGCATCAATGAGCTTGCACAAGACCTCCTTTACGGGGAAGGAGTCAGGTGAAGACCCAAGGACACGCCGATGGAGATGCAGAAGACCAGCAAACCGGAAAGCTTCCTCGATGGCTATCATGTCCGAGGACTCAACACCGTGATGGTGTTCCGGAATGGTATACACACGCCCACTGATTCCGGCGATATCACCAAGTACAGATTGCGCTTCCAGAACCATTTCAGCAGATGCGTGCCAGTCATGTCGGAAGTTACCCATTTCATCGAAGCGTTGATTGTCACATTCCTGCACCAGCTGTGCAAGACGGATCAGGAATACCCCAGTGCGGGGGGTGAACCCCGTGAAGCAGTCAACGCCAAACTCATCATGACCGTCGGGCGCGGAGCAAGCCGTTAAAATGGAGTGGTATATCATTAGCGGAGGACCGGCTTCTCGACACGACAGAGAACCCATCGTGTCGAGGTAGCCCAGCCAGCGGGCGAAGAATGCCCCAATTCTGTTCCCAGGCTGTGCCATACTCTCACTTCGTGCAAGGAATAAATCGCGAGCAAGCTTTAGATGACTCTTCCAGGTGATCGGCACTTCAAATGTTCTTGGAGAAACAATCTTTAATGACAACAGCATAATAGCTGTAGCCAAGTGGCTGTCAGTGATGTCTTCACTGGATGACTCCAATGCCATACGCAGGGTTGGGAAAACCTGGCTAACCCAATGAGCAATTCGATTGGAGGGCTCGGGATGACCTAAATATCGAGCACGATGACTAGCAGAGTATGCAAGTAGCAAATTGAGGAGATTGGAATCACCGATTGCCACTGTTCAGTTAGCCTCTTGAAAAATAACACGACATAGACTGGTACAACTCACTTGATGGTAAAACTGAGATAAACGGATTATTATCGCAGTTGTGCGGTACAAGCATGCGAGCAGTGTGGTTTAGGAAATGATGGAAGTACATCAAATTGATAGGGTTCTCCAGCAGCGATGACGGAAGCGGAGACAAGTACCTCGGGACATTGACGGGTACTGGGGAAGCATAGTAACCACTGCAAAACTGGACCTGTGGTCCGGGGTCAGGTTGAGAAGCTTTCGACTGCGAGGCTTCCTCGTTGCGCCATCGAGAACTGACCGAATCCAACGCATAGTTGATGTCTATGGCAGCATGGTCATTGTTGAAAGTCAGATCCTGATCAGGGCGCCCGGAGTCCAATCCATAATTGTCGGTTACACTGTTCAGATATGCTTGCCATTTGTTGCGGGCCATTGAAGACTCGTGGGATGTTTGATCAATTTCATGATTGCTCTCTGCCGATAGCTGATGATCCGGAGTCAATTCATGGTGGTAGTCATGTACAGAGCCCATGTTGCTGGTTGTCTCGCGGATCCTCGGAGACGAGGTTGCATCACTTTTAGCAATCGACACTTTGTGTGAATCGAAAAACATGGAGGACAAGCCGCCAGTATCCTGCGGGCTGTTTGAGGACCCGTTTGGCCCTGTCCCAGACCCAGCCCCAAGATGCATGCCCTGGTCCAGGTGTCCTTCATCACGAGAGTGGGAGATAGATGAACCCGAGCAGTGATTGGGAGCATCCACAGGGTGACGCATGTATGAAACTGGCTGCGACACGGGGTTTGTATGAAACGCAAAGGCAGAGAGTGATCTGAGACCAGATGTCGGGTCTACCGAATCTAGATATGACGGCGTATCAAAACTCTCCTGTCCAAATTGATATTGCAATAAAGGCGCCGAGGATACTGATGTTGTCAATGGAGGGGATTGTTCCGCCCAAGTTGAGGAGAACTGAGGCTCTAATTGGCCCGGCGATGTCACTCCTTCAGAGCCTGACCCGAGCCTAGGAGATTCAAAAAAGCCCACTGGAGCTGGTGTACTTGGAGATATTGCTCTCGGCGAAGTCAAATCCCCGGGATGAATGTTGAGAAAGCCATCTGCAGGATTGTTGCTTGTTGGAGTGGGGAACGAAGTCGGGCTCAGATTGTTGATAGCGAATGAGCCCGAAAACCCAATTACAGCTCCTCCATACCCACTAGATTGTGAATTCGGCGAATCAACTGACATGCGTTTCGCCCTTCCTCCCCAATTTAGACGGACACTATAGTCGCAAGGTTCGCCTTGTCGCTGGCAATTAAGACATGCAGGTTTCTCCTCACCACTACATAGACAATGTTAGCCACATGAGTACCATGCGGGGATTGTGCTTCTCACCATTTGACCTTGCGTGCTTTGCATGGCCTAGTGCGATTGTTAGCCTTGGAAAAGCTTGGATTTCCATTTTAGTAACGTACCAACATCCTTTACGGCTTCGACGCTTTGGTTCTGGTGCACCGGGTCTTCTAGGACGAGGCATTGCACGTCAGAGGGCGCCTGGTCGAGTATCGCAGCGACAATTCAAGATAACGGAGGCTCGGAATAGCCAAAAGGTCACTATGTAATGCCTCGCCGCCATACAGATTTAGTCTTTTAAAGTCTGTATTAGTCCAATCGAAACTCCTTACGCCGGAAGCACGTCAGAGTTGGCACGCTTTCGTTTCGATCCTCGTTGACCCCAAGTAGCGATAAAGCGATAATCGACCAGACACCCACACCTAGTATACAAGCACATCGAGGTATGGGAGGGAGATGTGCCGGAAACAGTTCGAGTCCCACTGCTCTTCAGCAATGGGAAGGCAAGAGAAGCCGATAGTAACCAGGGCAAGATGCCAAACAGAAGGTGGATCTGTTCAATATGATCAATTGACCTACTAGGTAGTCGAATGACCTCACTGCTCAGACAAGGGCCACAGATTCGCAGCAAAAGTCCCAATTTTGATGCAAAGAAGAAAGGTTGTCTTTGGAGGGCAGACTAAAAGTGTGGGGAAGCACATGGCCGAGATAAGAAACGATGAATCAGCCGGGTTATGTTATAATCCGATACTGACCGGCATACCGCGGGAGGCCGGAATTTCCCGCGAAAGCCGCTTCATTCCGCATGTCACGTGAACTCATATCTCGAACCAACGTCATAGCTTCCACCTGGGCAGTTCCTGGATGCACATTGGTTCCTTGAGTTGCGCTTTGATAGCATATTTGGAGGCGTTACATTCTAGGTTACACATTATACTAGGTCTTTAGAGCACTTGTGTCCTAATTTGTTTTCCCGATATGGCCAAATCTCTCATCGATAGGCACCCGCTTCAGTGGATGCCGAGCCCTTCACGGGGCTTATCAGCTTTGGTTCATGTAAGTACCGTGGTCCTTTCGCTTGTCATTTTGGTCTAGCATTAACGGGTTGCTTTCCAGTTGGCTGGACTTTCGAGCTTTTTGTGGTCATTCAAATAGTATGGCTCCCCTATCAAGCTGTACTTTGAGGGGTTACTGACATTCTTGAAGCATCCACGAGAACCCCAACCAAGCGTAAGCCCGCCGTCTAGTCTTGATATTGGAAACCATGCTAAACTTTGTATTTGACAGCAATCAAGCATATGGTTGGCATTTTCAATATTTGACTGTGATTGGCCTGTCGTTGTCAACACTCACTTTTGCGGTCGCATTACTAGCGGATATTACCTCGTCCCGGCGACTATTCCTGATCAAAAACATCCTATCGATATGTAGTGCTCCCCTCGAGGTTGTTATCAGTGTTTTGTACTGGGGTCTTCGCTTGGTAAGTAGTTTGATGATAAACTCGACATTTATCTAACTCGAGTATAGATTGATGAGCGTTTGGTCGTTCCCGAAGACATATTTATACCCCTTCATGCCGGTATGTCTGTGAAAAGTACATTTTGAGGTACCCCTAATAACACAGTTGTAGACATCAGCTTCCACGCAGCACCGTCGGTGGTGATGTTGATTGACCTGCTCCTCCTATCCCCACCCTGGACAATCACTGTACTCCCCGCACTAGGATTGTCTAGCACTATTGCCTTTGGCTACTGGTTCTGGATTGAGCAATGCTTTTCCCAGAACGGATGGTTCGTGTATGACCTAACACTTCTGATGCCACCTATTAATTAATCTAGGTACCCATATCCTATCTTCGAAGCACTGCCCACACCAGGTCGTATTGGCCTATTTACTCTTAGTGCCGTTATCATGACACTGAGCACTATTACTCTCAAGTGGCTCCACGGACGTGTCAATGGATTTGGCAACCCTATGAAGCCAGAATCCCGCCCAGGCGATATTAAGCGAAAGAACGGCCTGTAGACACATAGATCCGGATCTATTAGCTCTTGTGTCCATCTCATGTGGGAGATTTCTCATCATATGGTAGCTACAAGAAGGAAACATGGGCGCATTGTGATGGTCATACCTTGGTTATCCCCCTTTTTCCAAGTGCATTCATGAATTCCGGGATCTCCATCATTACTACATTTACACCTCACAATGTCTCAAATACAAACCATGGCTATGATACTATCGAGATCCAATTTAACCCCTAGATCCAATAAGCAAATCATCGCGAGCGTTCCAATTAGAATTTCACTATAACAAACATGCTGTTAACAGCTTAACTGCGCAGGTGGGATATGTTTGAAACCATTTTGCACAGCGAGCTCACCAACAATTACTCTCCTAAGCTAGCGCTTGTTCCATGAGGCGCTTGTTGCAGATCATAGTATACCATACACCGACTTAGCCCAGAATCATAGTCGCAGTTACCCGTGCGCTGCTGACACAACTTGCTTGTGGGTGACGATCACCCCATACGGCGTCATCAAAACCGTGCGCACATTTAATGCGGGGCTTAGTGTGACTGCGGGAAGAATAAGGGCTCTTAGATTACCCTTACTACGGGGTATTTTGTCTGGCTGTATGGTCATTGGGCCAAACTTTTCGGGGCTACGGAGCAAGGCCGCTAGCGAGGTCAATGCCGAGACAATCCTTCCACAGTGCCGAACTCACCCCCATCCAATCGAAACATGGGGAAAAGGTCATGATCGTTAGTGGATCAAAGAGGCTTCACGTTCAGTGGCTAGATAGTTGAGGCGTTAACCGCACTAGCTCCGGACTTTGGAAGATCAATATTCATTATAGCCACGTCGGCCGACACCACCACTGTGCTCTCGGCCGAGTGCACATATTAGCCACGTTTCTAAGCAAAACCGAGGTCTCTCGTGTTAATCTCAAGGAGCGGGCCGTCGTGAACTTGGCAATTCATACATGAGATGGAGACGGGAAAGCTTCGCCCAGTGGAACCCGGGGTACTTTGTCTGGAGCCTGGGGTATGCGGGGGTTAGCCCTAATTTGCCCCAGATGCCCAGACATGGCTTACTTCTCCAATAAAACATACTTAGTATACTAAAATCCAGGGCTTAGGATTCAACATCAAACTAAATCAAATGCTGCAATGATACTGCTCCATTTCTCCCGATTCGAACTTTCTTCCACTAGGCTCACTCTCTACACGCCGATCATACCCCAACCACTCAAATCTATGCCGATCAATCCGGGGCCACAACATGCAGATCCAAGCTAATGCTGCAATCCTTGCGCGCGGGCTGCAACACGGGCCAGGGTGTAGCCATCACACCATCATTCAGCTAGACCCTAGCAGAAGATCTTACTCGGCCAACTACCGAACATAAGCGTTAGCGTGTATGCCCCTCTTTACCAAGTGCTTGGTGGCTTTTGTTGTTCGGCTTTGGAGTCTTTCCTGTTCTCCTTAAATAGCCCGCATATCGGTGAAAAGCAGTCACACATTTCGGAGCATTCCCCCTGCCGATCTGCTCGATCTTGCATTATGGCTTTTGAATCCGAAAAAAGAACTGAGTCCCGGTCTTCTGACCCCGAGAGAATTATCGATTCCAAGGATCCCCTTGCTGCAGCTGGATTTGAGGATCCCGACGCTGGATTAAGTGACGAGGAAAGGGCGGCAATCGTGTGTTATCCCTCAATTCCATGTTACTTCAACATCGTTTGCACAAAAACTGATCGAACATGATAGGATCGTAAGCTACTATGGCAACTTGATATCCGCCTTGTACCATGGCTCAGTCTACTTTATCTCGTTTCGTTCCTTGATCGGTAAGCAAAAAGAACAATCCATCTATGGGGTATTTAAGCAACCCCTTCCGAGGAAGTATCACAGACTAATCTCATCTCGTTCCAAGGACAAATATCGGCAACGCGAAACTTGTTGGTCTACAAACAGACCTTAATATGACGAGTGCCCAATATAATGCAACACTGACTATATTTTTCGTCTCGTACTCCGTCTTCGAGCCCGCGACTAATGTCCTACTCAAGCGATTGCGGCCGAGTATATTTATCCCACTCATTATGATGGCATGGGTCAGTAAAAGGTTCCCTTCCCCTCATACAGTATTTTTCTGATTAATTATAGGGAATTTGTATGACTTGCATGGGCTTCGTAAAGAACTACCACGGGCTAATGGCAGTCCGCTGGTTCCTAGGCCTATCGGAAGCCGGTCTATTCCCCGGAGTGGGCTATTTCCTCTCATGCTGGTATAAGCGATCAGAATTTGGTGTGCGAATGGCAATTTTCTTCTCTGCGGCTGCGCTTGCAGGTTCCTTTGGTGGCCTGCTAGCAGCAGCGATTGCAAAGATGGACGGCGTGGCCGGTAAACCGGGCTGGTCGTGGATTTTCATTTTAGAAGGCCTTCTTACGTTTGTCATTGGTATTGCCTCATTTTGGTGTGTCTATGATTTCCCCGATCAGGCGCGGTTCTTGTCGGACATCGATCGGAAACGCGTGCTTAGGAGACTCGCTATGGATCAGCAGTCGAGTGCTGAACATGAGGAGTTCAAGATGGAGTACTTCTGGTCAAGTCTGAAGGATTGGAAGACTTATACTGGAGCTGTGATTTATATGGGGGCTGATGGGTCACTTTATGCGTTTTCGCTCTTCGTGCCTACTATTATCAGTGAACTAGTGAGTTGTTGCATCGCTGGATTGGAGATTTTGGAGCTAACATGGTTTTCCTAGGGTAAATATTAAAATTGGCTGTTGTGTTCGGGCAGCTATTTACTAACTGGCTGCTTCTACAGGCTACAGCTCGATTCGTGCACAGTTACTAAGTGTACCGCCATATGCCGCTGCCGCCGTCTTGACTGTGACGGTTGGCTTCATTGCAGATCGTACAAGACAGCGTGGTCTCTGCAATATTGCCGTCTCGTTCCTTGGTATGATAGGATTCGCTATGCTATTGGGCTGTGAGTCTGCCGGCGCCCGCTACGCAGGCACCTTCCTCGGGGCCATGGGCATCTACCCAGCCATTGCAAACACGATTTCATGGACTAGTAACAACACCGAAGGTAACTTCCACCTTGGATTCCGCTTTTATCTTGACATATGACCAAGATTGACTCGATTGCTGTCTAGGTGTATACAAACGAGGTGTCTCCCTCGGGTTTATCATCGGCTGGGGAAATCTCAACGGCATTGTTTCATCCAACATCTACCGCGATGATGATAAGCCAAGATACTATCCCGGTCACGGAGTAGTACTCGGCTACCTGGTCCTGTTCCTCTTTGGTGGATCCGTGGTGCAGTACCTCTTGTTGCGGCGTGAAAACGGCAAGCGCAGACGCGGCGAACGTGACCACTGGATCGAGGGCTTGGACCAGAACCAGATCGAGCTATTGGGTGATAAAAGACCGGACTTCATTTACACTCTGTGAGCAGCGCTGGGATAGCCAGATGGGCGGGGAAGGGATAGCAGAGCCACATCGAGATATGAGTTGGAAATGAACATACATCATCAACGATCGTGATCATAGTTGATAGGTACGGAGTAGATGACTCCAGGTTTACGTAAGGTGTCTATAAGAACCCGGTCGTAGCTTCATGCGAGAAGAATCGCAATTGTGGGATCCTTTAAATCCCATCTCATACCTCCTTCTCGTACCGATTAACAATGTCCTGTCCCTTCTTCGGGCCACGTACAACATGCCGACTAGCCCAGCTAAGCACCTCCCCGGTATCAGGCTCAATGCGGAACGCATACGCCGTACGATACATATCGTTGATACAGAGATGGTTACCTCTAGCATTGATGACAGTAGTTTCCTTGGAGGTCGACACAGCGGGTGGCACGGGCGGCGCGACGAATTCACCGGGATCCTTCTGCGCAGACCCTGGCTCCGACTCCAGCAGCAAATCCGAATCCGAACCCGAACCCGAATCAAAGTCGAAGTCGTGGAATAGGTAGTCTGCTTCTTCCGGGCCCGGCGCGACTTTCACGAACCAGACACTAACGCGTCCGTTGTCGCTGCCTAGGCGCCAGATGTACTTCTTTGTCCACCGTAGGCCTGGCGGTAAGGCCCCTGTACCGACATTGCTAGGTATCTCGCCTTCTTCGCAGTACAGCCAGTCGCGGTCGGTGGTGGTGGGGGGTTGTGCGGTGAAGGTTGCGGTCCCGCGGAGCTCGCCGTTTAGGTCGAAGGGGTTTTCACTCCGGAGGGTTCGGGTTAGGGTCCAGCGGGTGTTGCTGAGGGAGGTTATTAGGGTTGAAAGTAGCTGGCGGGAGGGCATTGTTGGCATTGTTGGCGTTGTTGGCATGATTGGTATAATGGGAGTGTTGTTGGAGAAGGGAATGCGGGGGAGAGGAATAATAGGTGGAGTTATTATCCAATCATCTCCGGGCGTTCCCCTCGAACTAGCCCTGAGACTTCTATTGCTTGTTTTTTTTATTTGGCCTCTGTTTCGTATTCACGTATCGATTTACTCAGATCGCCTAAAATTGTCCATAAATCGTACACTAACGGTCGATACCCCGTGAATACCCGGGGGAACTGACCTGAATGGGACATACAATTTCTTTTTTACGTTGTGTGGCTTGAAACTTAACATTGCATCGAATCAAATCCGCTAGCCATGTGGCTAAGACCTCTTTAGCCATTAGCTGTGTTATATGGTCTCCAACAATTGAACTCCGCTTTGTGTGGTATATTCTATATTCTATGTCTAAAGACGGATCTGTATAATACAAAGAATACAGAGTTGAGACACCTTTTAAGCGACCCGGTCGAGACCTAATTGGCGTAAGTCGAATCTGACATGGGAAATTCAATGGTACATAATAAGCGAAGGCGACAATGAATCTACTGATTTTACGCAGTAAAGAGTGGGGGCTATATGCATACAATAGCTCTTTACTCCGAAACATGAGATAATAATATCGCAGTCCATTGATAGTGCCCAGGTGCGTTCATCTTGAACATCAAGATTTATATCGTACTCCGTTCAAGGACGTCCATACAATCTTACATTTTATTTCAACCGTCTCGACTGCCGATCGTGGTGGGCCCTTGTTTGGAGTTGATGAAGGACGGGGATGAGTTACCGGTCAGTAGATTCAGTTAGAAGAAAATAGACAACTCAGTTCCTACTTTGTATATCGTGCATCGTACAAAGCACATCAATGTATGGAGTACGGAGTACGGAGTAGTTAGTAGAATATACATACATTTCAACTCCTTGCATGGGAAAAAGTATAGAACTTTAGCCAAGGTGATAGTTAGTCTAAAATAGCCTTGACACGTGGGACTTAGTCAATCATTTACTGCATCCAGCGATGTAACCACCGGATAGAAACTGACCTTGGGACTCGAGAAAGGGAAGTTAGAATTTAAAGATCTGGCAGGTGTCAGAATGCTAAGAGAATCTCTCTGATCGGAATGTTGTGATTTCCACGTTGAATGGGCCGTTTGCGGAGATTAAAAAGACGCATGCGATCAGTGCTACTGTCAGGTACCATACTACAATACTACATTATACTTAAGGTAATTAAACCGAAATTAAAAGCTAAGAATAGTGGAATCAACTAGCCGCTACGGAGTAAATACAGAGTATACCCTGTAAGGCCAGAAAAGAAAAGGAAAAAAAGACAAAAAGCCGAATCCGGAATCGTTCGGCCCCGACTAGACCTAAAACCATCTTCTCGTTTTCTGGTCTTTTTGATCTGCTCATCTTTCTTTCTTTAACTTATACAAGTATGGACTGAGAGATTCCATTCAAACATCAAACCGAGCCTAACGGCTCCCACTACCCCGACATTCGCTACTCATCCCCTCATTTAAACAAAACTACTTGAAAACATCACCCTCACAATGTCACTCACTACACGCCTCCCATTCCTCTTCCTCGCCCTTATCGCCCTCACAATCTCAGCCCTAGCCGCCGACAGCATCCTCCCCACATCAGCCTCCAGTACATTCCCGCAATGCGGTCTGACCTGTACTGCCCTGACAGGCGCGCAGACTTCCTGCGAATCAGCCGCCGCCTCAACCTGGACCTCATGCTTCTGCCAGTCATCCCTGCTCACCGGCCTCAAAACCTCCGGCAGCATCTGCTCAACCTGCAGCACCGCCGACCAAGCCACTCTCTCAACCTGGTATAATAACTACTGCAACTCCGGCGGCAAGGATACATCCAACACCGCCACCACAGCAACCACTTCAGCCGGCACAGCCTCTACATCTGTTTCCAGCTCGAGCTCAAGCACGAACAAATCTGCCACAACCACAGAGGAGAATAAGTCATGGTACGTTTAATCGCGATACCGCGGCGCATATCGGAATCGCAACTACATTAGCCAAGACCAACCACTAATACAAACCCCCCCCAAATAGGTGGAGTACCCACTACCGCTGGGTCATCATGCTCATCGTGCTGGTCATCGGATTCACTATCATTGCCGTACTCGGCGTAAGGTTTAAACGTCGCTACGACGCTAAACGGCCCAATCTCTACCACGGCGGTGGCAGTAGCTTGCTGAGCACAGCTTCCCCGCCCGCTCCGCGCGAAGCCGCTTGGGGCGGCGCCGCGCCGGTGCCTGTGCAGACCCCCGGTCTTACTGCTGACTCCCTGGCTAGTAGCTCGCGCTCTACCATGGCGAAGGCTAGCACTCCGGTCCCCGGCTCCCGGACGAGGTTGACAAAGATCGAGCAGGGCTCCGGGGATGTGGAGGTTAGGCAGGTTTAGTTAGGGCTTGCTTGTTTTGCTTCTTATCTTATTTTGGATCTTTGGGTTTCTTATGTAATTTTCTTTCTTTCTTTCTATTTGCAATGCGCTACTTCTATACCATACGACCTGGTTATGGTTGCATCTCTTGGTGTTTGGTACGGATAATGGGCTTCACGCTGTGTTTTTCTTGCTGGTTTCTCGCCTCTTTTCTCTCTTTTTTTCTTTCCTTGTTCCCTCAGGCTTTTGGCCTAAAATATAGCGGAGTGGATTTCCGCTGACGACTGTGTCGATTCTCTTTTCACGCTCATATTCGCCATCTTTTTTTTTTTCAAGCTGTCTCAGTGACAGAGTACATAGTACAACGCGTGCGCGTGTTTCATGATGCCTTATACACATATTTTGTAATACCACCTCTAGATTCTACTTAGGGCTGATATATCACGAGATACTAATACTAACAACCTTAATATCGACTTCCGGTTTCTCCTTATGTGTCCGCACATTCTCAATTTTATGCACGATATCCAAGCCCTGCACTGCACGCCCAAAGACAGTATGCTTATTGTCCAGCCACGGCGTCTTCTCTGTGGTAATGAAGAACTGACTAGCATTTGTATTGGGTCCGGCGTTGGCCATCGACAGCGTATACGGCTTATCGTGTTTGAGAACGGAGAACTCGTCGGCGAATTCCCCGCCCCAAATAGACTCACCACCCGTCCCGTCACCTTGCGGGTCACCACCTTGGATCATGAATTTGCGGATCACACGGTGGAAGATCGTGTTATTGTAATAGCCATTCCGGGCGTGTGTGACAAAGTTCTCCACGGCCCGTGGTGCAGCCGAGGGATATAGGCGCAGGTGGATGTCGCCGAAGGTTGTGTGCAGAATTGCCGCAGTACCGGTCTCAGCGGCTTTAGTCACTGCCGTACCCGTGCCAGCCGCTGCTTGGGTTGGCTTCTCGTTTTGGACGTCACGGACAGATTTCGAGATATCTGTTTGGTTCGTGAACATGTAGAAGCGCACCTTAGCGAAGCCGGTGCAGAGGAGAATCGGGTCGCGTTCTTCGGCTTCTTGGAGAAGGGGGTTGCTACTGGCTGCCATTGACACGGTTACGACGCCTTTGCGTTGCGGTTGTCCTTGGTACAATGCGAGATTGACGGCGCGGAATGGCTCTTCGCGACCGTAGACCCGGACTACCCGGTTTGTGTAGGTGTTGATACATTTCACACCGTAAAGAGAGCCGTAGAGGAGGAAGTGGCCGGATTCGTCGAAAGAGACGTTTACTTTGTTGCGCGTAGCTTCGTTTTCGAGTTCGCGCTCAACACCCAGGCGGCGCCCGAACTCTACTTCATCAAGTTCGTACGGTGCTGTTCCGGCTTGTTGCATCTCTGTGATAGTGGTTATTGATTCGTCGTATGTGCGGTAAAGCTTCCCGGTTGCGAAATCGAATACTCGGATTTGTCGGTCTGGGAAGGAAACCGTGGCGAAATGTTCCCCGGACGGAGAGATCGTGATTGCTGTCGGAACGGATTTGGCTTTCTTAAATGCGAAGAGATTTGTTGAGGATTTGAACTCGAAGACGTTGTCAGGTTTCTCGAAGGATCCGTCTCCGGCTCTCCAGTATTCGATCATTCCTGATTCATCGGCGGAGACGACGCAGTCGAAAGCGTTGTTGAATGCTAGTGAGACCACGGGGCTGCGGTGGATCGACTTCAAAGTGTGCAATGGCTGGGGGTTTTCGCCACGTCCGTCGAATACTTGAATCGTATTACTTGACTCGTCTGTCACGGCTAGTAGGGGAAGCGAGGCACCGCGCGGGTGTACCCAGCAAACACATCGAGGCACAAAGTCCAGCGTATACATTGATAAGAGATCTATTGATGTTAGTAAGTCATTGTACCACGAGAGTCACACATTTTGGACCTACCAAATGTGATGACATCAAATATCTTCACCGTCTTGTCCAGTCCCGCTGTCGCGAAACTGCGGCCGTCGGCGCTGACAGTTACACCCCGAATCTCGCCTGGATGAGCAAGGAACTCCTTGACGAACTCAATGCCTTCTGCCATCTTCTTCCAGAACTTAACAAATCCATCGATGGAGGAAGTGATCACAAAGTCTGTGTAGGGCGCAACAGTCACAAACGACAATTGGTCCTTGTGCATAAGAGACTTGGAGTACCGCGCGGAGACTGGTAGCGCATTGATGTAGACTTTCTCGAAAGGAAGCTTGCGCCGCTTCTTCTTGGGGGCAACCTCTGAGGGCAGCGCAGGGCCGAAATCATCGTCGGAAGAGTCATCGCCTAGTAATCGCATACAGTTAGTATCTAGTACATTTCGTTCGAGGAAGCGGTCTGAACGGTGTCCACGATGCAGGGGACTCACTGTTCTCGGCCTCGACAGCAGAGTGAGGCCGCTTGTTCGCAGGAGCCTGAGCGAGTTCGCCGGAGTCAGCCATTGTCGATATTGACAGGAACAAGGTCAATTCCAGCGAAAGGGATCGTCACGACAGAAAGGAACCGTCGAGAGGCATCGCGGGCGGTGATGGAGTGCAGCCAATCAGAAGCTCGGGCCAATCGTGCGGCAACTTTTCTCCTTTCCCACCCCACTGTTGACAGGAGAAGTCGATTCAACCTTTCCAGCAAGACATTTGATCTTTGGTCGATTGCCTTATTCAGCTGGTCATCATGGTATGCTATTCCGATCTCGACCCGCGGGAACGTGGAAAATATGTGTTTGCACTGGCTCACCTCTACCCCTCATAGGCATCTTTCGGCAATCCCACACAGATCTTTGGTGACGATGTCATTGAAGAGAAGGGCGAGAATGCCCGTCTCTCAGCCTTTGTCGGTGCTATCGCCGTCGGAGACCTCGTGAAGAGTACCCTTGGCCCCAAGGGAATGGATAAAATCCTACAATCTGCGTACGTGGGGGAGTTATCGATAATCCTATGTGCTGATATGACCCCGGAAATACTGACATGGCTGTTTTCGCAGGTCTACGGGAGACATCTTAGTGACGAACGATGGTGCTACGATTCTCAAGTCAATCGCTTTGGATAATGCTGCGGCTAAGGTTTTGGTCAACATCTCTAAGGTTCAGGACGATGAGGTGGGTGATGGAACCACATCAGTCACCGTTTTGGCCGCCGAGTTGCTGCGTGAGGCCGAACAGCTTGTTGCCAAGAAGATTCACCCCCAGACTATTATCGAGGGTTACCGGATAGCTAGCAAGGCTGCCCTCGCCGCTCTCGAGGCTACAGCGGTCGACCGCAGCCAGGACCCCGAGGCTTTCCGTAAGGACTTGCACGCCATTGCCCGCACAACACTCAGCTCGAAGGTTCTTTCGCAAGACCGGGACCAATTCGCCAAGTTGGCCTGTGAGGCCGTTCTGCGTCTCAAGGGATCCACCGATCTTTCGCACATCCAGATTATCAAGAAGGCCGGTGGAAAGCTGAGCGATTCATACCTTGATGAGGGTTTCATTATGGACAAGAAGGTCGGTGTCAACCAGCCCAAGCGGTTGGAGAACGCCAAGATCCTGGTTGCCAACACAGCAATGGACACAGATAAGGTCAAGATTTTCGGTGCACGAGTCAAGGTCGAGTCGACTGGCAAGCTTGCTGAGTTGGAGAAGGCAGAGCGCGAGAAGATGCGCCAAAAGGTCGAGCGTATCAAGGCTCACGGTATTAACTGCTTCGTTAACCGTCAGCTCATTTACAACTGGCCCGAGCAGCTGTTCACCGAGGCTGGTATCATGTCCATCGAGCACGCCGATTTCGACGGTATCGAGCGTCTGGCCCTTGTTACCGGTGGTGAGATTGCCTCCACCTTCGACCACCCCGACCAGGTCAAGCTGGGTGGGTGTGATCTGATTGAGGAAGTGATCATTGGTGAGGACACCCTGATCAAGTTCTCCGGTGTGGCCGCTGGTCAGGCTTGCACCATTGTGCTGCGCGGTGCCACCGAGCAGCTTCTCGATGAGGCTGAGCGTTCGCTCCACGATGCTTTGGCCGTCCTCTCCCAAACTGTCAAGGATCCCCGTGTCACACTTGGTGGTGGCTGTGCCGAGATGGTGATGTCTAAGGCCGTGGAACAGGCGGCTCAGAACACTACCGGCAAGAAGCAGCTTGCTGTCGACTCGTTCTCTCACGCTTTGAAGCAGCTGCCTACCATCCTGGCTGACAACGCTGGTTTGGACTCTAGCGATCTGGTCACTCGCCTGCGCTCGGCCATCAACAACGGTATGACCAGCTCTGGTCTCGACCTGTTGACGCCCGGTGGTGGTATTGCGGATATGCGTGAGCTTGGTGTGGTGGAGGCTTATAAATTGAAGAAGGCGGTGGTTTCGTCTGCCTCAGAGGCAGCCGAGGTATGTCATTCACTCTTTTTTAGTCTTGATACTCAATTTGGAATACACGCTGACTTTCTTTTAGCTTCTCCTGCGGGTGGACAACATCATCCGTTCGGCTCCCCGCCAACGCACCCGGATGTAATGGACACGATCGTGATGACATGGATGAATTCATCTCTGTACTCTTTCTATGAAGGAACTAAAAATTGTGCAATAGAAGTTCAACTAAGTACATGATCTATCCATCTAGCCATTTGTGTAGTCTGCCACGTAGATATATGATGCACCATCACTTTGGTCCTGTGGTATCTGTTGCCCCAGATGTAGCTCATAGCCTCTAAGCCATTGCATAGTCTGTCATCAATGTGCTAGATGTACATGCATAGTCAGTCTTGAATCTTCTTCTGGGGCTTGGATCCTCAGACTTGGATCCTCAAGCAAAAGGATCGGATGCCAAGACCGGCCCGGCCGCTTTGAGGAGTACTACTCCATATCCGTATAAACTGGATCGATGTTGTATGCACTTACGGAGTGCTGGTATTCAACTTCCACCTGCACAATTTGCGTAGCAGGAATTGAATCTGTGAAGGGGTTGGCAAACTTCCCTAGTCCCAATGATTATAAAGCATGGCATCATTGCTGTACCTTAACGTCATAGGGGATCCT